AAAAAAAAAGGAATTGTCATTTGGCAGGAATTTAGCAGAAATTGTATTGCAATCTTAATAGAGTGAGAGCAAACCACTGACAGCCACAATTGCCTGATCCATAAGGAAGGTAGCTCTTTCTAAGTAGAAGATCCTAACTCCAAACCTTGATGAGCTTGAATGGCTGACTTTGGCAGAAGGGGTGGTATAGAAGTAAATGACTACAGAGTTCAGTGAGAAGAATTTGGAGTTCTGGAGGCAATCCAAAAGGGAAGCGTTAAGGAGGAGAGATGGGGAGGTGAGGAAAAGGGAAAAACCACTGAGCTGGACCACTTTATGAGGGCAACCAGCCGATAAAAGCCTTCGTAGGACAGAAGGGCTAAAACCTTTTGAGAAAAGAGGTATCTGATACTTAATTTGCAATTGCGTAGGTCTCCTTTATTCCCCTAAAGAGGCTGGACGGGGACAGCACACAGGTGACAAGACAGTCCACAAACTGATGGAAGTCAGCAGTTGCAGGGGCGCAGGGCCAGAGGTGACTGTGGGAATGTAAGCCTCCTCCCGCCTTCCGCCCCGGCCTCCTGGGAACTGGCCATACTTTGGGGGAGGTTTAGATTTTCACAGGATGTGCAGTGGACTTGGGAACCAATCTTATCTAGGGAGGCTTCAGCTGACATCTGTGTTACTTAATAAATACAGCCATTGCTAAAAATAATGATAGTAATATCATAAAATAAAGATTTAAGTAGGTAGGTCAGGTATTTGGCACCTCAGGACACTGAATCCTGTAATGTGCCCAAGGGACTGGGTGGAATGGTAAAACTCTGGCTCTGAGTCCCTTCCTCTCTCTCCGTGCCCGGGAAGAGAGAGAGATGCTGCTGAGGTAGAAGCAAGGTAGCTCCTCACCTGTCTCCCCTCAGGCACCACGAGCCTCTGGTCTCTCGTGGGCTCAGCTCTTTCCTGTGTGGCTCCCACAGTGGCTTTGGGTTGATCAATGACGAGTTCTGTCAAAGAACTGAGCTCAGGGCTATGAACGGTGGGAGTGAAGAAGAGCATCCTGCTCCCTTAAACAAATCTTTTCTAGTAAGGGAGACACAAATGAATAAGCTCATCAGTGGTCATAAAGATATTTTATCTGAATGTCAGGTTTTCTCTGTTCTCATCAAAGGATGTAGGCCACAAACCAAGAAGAACGAACCAAAGTAGGGAGACATGGGGGCCACCCAGGCAGCCGTGAAGGAAGCGAGTATATCTGGCCCACTGTTCACCTCGTCTCCAGATAAGAACGTGTGTGTGTGTGTGTGTGTGTGTGTCTGTTGACTGGTGAGCAGGAGTGGAGGTTTCCTGAATGCAAAGTGCCAAAGCGCAAACCCTGAGATAAAAAGTCATAAATAGACCTAGGGCCTGACCCAGAGCCAGGCTGCGTGTCCTTGGGCTGGTAGGACTTGTAGGCCAAGTCCTGGGTTGGGGGGGCTGGGGCTGAGCAGCTGCTGTGGAAATTTCCATGGGCTGTCCACCAGCCCTTGAGAAGCTATGGGACTCCGCATGGCATGCAGAGGGCACGGGTTATGAAAGAGGCACAAGACGTGGTCCCAGTTCATAAGGAACGAGGTCCCTAGAGGAGAGACTCAGGGATGCTTGCCAAGAGAGCCAATAAACAAGCAGGTTGGAGAACCCGAAAACAAAGTGGTAAAGAAGGTCAAGGCATAGAACCAGTCAGAGAAAGTCAATATCACCTTCCAGTTATTGGACCTCCATTTCGCCTTCCAAGAAAAATCTTGAAAATACAGACTTCACATTAAGATAAAAGTTGAGCTTGTTAACTTTAAGTACCATTAAAGGGTCACAAACATGTTAATTTTAAAATCAGATTTATCGAGATAACTGGTTAATAACATCGTATAACTTTCAGGTGTTTTATAACAACATCTGTACACTATTGTATGCTCACTACCTGGAGTCTAGTCTTATATTCATTTTTTAAAAGGAAAAAACCTACAATTTATTACAGCTGCTAGAGTCCGAGATATTCTTAGGAATTCAGGTTAAAATTGTAAAATCATTTTAAATACAGAAATTAATGAAAAACTATTTTAAAAAAAGTCAGTTCCACGTCCTGGTAATTATCAAAAGCTTTAAGTGTGCAATTTTGTAAACGCGAATGTTGTGGCCGCCCTAGGAATTGGAGATGTGTGTTTTTTTCCCTCTCCCAAGTAAAAGTCATGTGTGCGTGGGTATATATACTGCTTGAACACGTGCACGTGTGTGAACCCACAGTGCTCACAACGTCACATTCCCCGTGCGCTGGTGAGGATGATTTAGGTTGCAAGTAAGAGAAACCATGAAGAGAATTTATTGGTTTCCAATAAATTGGCGGAAAAGTTCAATGTTAGGGCTTCCAGTGTGGTTCTCAGGGTTCCAGCTCCATTTCTCTGATTCTCTCTGCCCGTCCGCCCTTGTGGGCCAGGTTCCTTTTTCGCCTGGCTTTCTTATGGTTGCCAGAGGCTTGCATATAGCATCTCAGCTGGAATTGAACAACTCAGCTGGAATTTCTCGACACTGACAATTAGTTTAAGGAGAAAGGGGTTATTGCTTCCCATAGCCATCGAGCATGAGGCCTGTGCTTTGTTCTGATTGGACCACTCCAGGACCAATCACTGTGGGCCTGCCATGTGCTGACTGGCTCAGGCTCAAAGAAACCTATCACTTTTCAAGTGGGTCAGGATTGGCATATGCTATCAGGGACTTACAACACCCCTAGAATTGGGTGAGGCCTGTGCTACTCACACTGATGGTGACTACGCAAAGGGGAGGGAAGACATCCCCACTGTCTACCACACCTGGGCAGCAATTTTTATTTTTTGAAATTTAGGGGTTACTTTCTAGGTATAAGGCACTGTGGGAGATATCGAGATATGCAGTTTACAATTTATTAGATATAAAATTGACAAATAATTACAACATACTATTAAGCATGATATGAAAAGGAAGCATGCAAATGCTAAAATAAAGTACTTAAAAGTAAGAGACACAGACTGCTTCTGGTCAAGGGGATCAGAGAGGCGACATGTAGCAAGTCAACTGGAATTAGGCCTTAAAGAATGAGTAGGATTTTAACTATTACAGGTGGGAAGGGAGGACATTGGAGGCAAGGGGACAGTAAGAGCAGAGCCCCAGAGGCAGGTAGCCAAGGGGGAGTTGGAGAAAGGCGGCAGCCCAGGTAAGCTGGAGCCTCAAGTTCTAGAAGTCACTGCTGAGGCAGGACTTGTTACCCCAGTGCAAAGAGATCTCAAGGTTCTGGTGATACCTGAGCAAGTAGCTTTGTCCTACAAGGTTAGGGTGCAAAGTGATCTTATCTTTTGAAATGTTCTCCCATAAAGAAAACTGGTTTAATTTTCCATTGGCCTGATTAACAGGAAGTTCAGTATCTCCTTCATGGGGCTCCTTCACTCACATGTCCCCAAACCCCAACTTGTACTATCCAAAGTGGGGGGTGGGGTCAGTCTGACTTTCACATGCAAGCAGGGACCACTGGTTTCTAGTCAGTCTGGTGGCCATACAAGTCCCCAGGTCTCTGCGCCTCCTAAGGACAGTCCCACTCCTGTCACTGAGCTTGGTGACCACTGTTCCTCACTAGTGGTCCAGGGCCATGATCTCATAGCTCTGCTCCTTAGTTAAACCCGCAACTCCCCGACCCACCCAGGCACAAGCTGTTCCAGGGACTCTGGGTAAGGGGTAGTTCGCGGTCTCCTTGGGGATGTAAGAACCCCTATCCTGGTCCTCCTCAGATCCACAGCACCATGAGGCAGGGGGCGTTTCCTCCTCAGCTACACCTGCCCCCAAAACAGGGATCTGCCCTCCCTTCTATGACTTCTTCCCGGCATACCCTTTCCCCACCACACACTCCTGGGGTTCATGGAGGCAGCTATGTGAAATGCCTTACCATGCCCAGGGGTCTGACACCTCTCTCACTGGGCCAGGGAAACAAATGGAACCCGGGGTTCAATCACCAGTGGGACATTCTGTCCTACTCGGACTTGTAGGTCCATGCCTCTTCGTCTCTTCTAGAAATTGCTTATTTCACCCAAGAAAGCCAGGCACTTCAGTACTCACTCAAAAGTTCACATTGACTTTCAACACCCTTGGTCATTGGCAAAATGGAATCTTGTGTGTGTCCTCGGCCTGTCCTCACCTTCAAGTTGAAATTCTTTTCCTTGTAGCAACTCCTACCTGCTTTGATGGCAGTTCCCGCCTGCAGAAGGCTCTTTCTGTTTTGGGCACCCAGTCCTCCCTTTTCTAGACTTCTCCCCACAACCTCGCTCTCTTAAACCTGGTTCTGGGTATCTCAGAGGAAAGCAGTGTAAGAGATTGACATAATTAGACTCAGCTCATCTAGAAACGACTCCTAAATTCAAATGAATTAAAAAAAATTTTAAAGGATGCAGGGACTGAGAAAAAAAAAACACATTCAGTAACTGGGATGACTTTCCACACACACTCAAGAATTTAAGGACAATAGAATGAATTATATACTCATTTTAGATTCAGAGGGTACTACTCACCAATTCGTCATATGTTATTTCTCCTTAATAAAATCAATGTAGAACAGTTGCCTGGAGTGAGGTGTGTGTATGTGTGTGTGTGTGTGTGGGGGGGGCCAATTAGAGAGGCATGAAGGAACTTTTTGGAGGGGAAAAATTGTTCTATATTTTAATTGGGGTGCTGGTTACATGAGCGATTCATTTGTAACAATGTATGATCTGTAAACTTAAGATCTGTGCATTTTACCGCACATAAATTCTATCTCTATTTCAAAATAGAAGAATTAAGCCAGTGATTTGGCATACTTGGCTCGTGTCCATGTGCTACAATATGTTGAAAAAAAATTGATCTGAAAGGGAAAAATAATGCCCTGTTGAGAAGGCAGACACATGTTGCAAACGTAGGCTAAGAAAAAACGGAAGCGGCAGACGGTGTTACTGGGCTGACTGGGGGTTTTTCCAGCTGTGGGGAGCTGAGCTGCTTCTGTAATGTGCTTAATTACTTCTCAATTGCGCAGTCAGCTAATTACAGTAATTAGTCTTGTCTTAGTTGAACAGGCTTTGGAATTCCTTGAAGTCATTCTCTTAGCAGGACTGGGTTGGATTTTCCCCGAGTCTGGCGACCTGCTCAGATTGTGGCATCTGGTGGTGCATCCCTGGAACTCCAGAAATGATCTGTTTTCACCATGGGGTGTCTGTGTGTGTGTCATGAATCTTAGAGCTGGTGAGTCATGGGTGTCGGGCCTCTAAGTACAGCAAGGACATTTGTGGGCTCTGCAATAGCACTGTTCTCTCCATGAGCCAACTCAGCCTTGCCTAGGTCCAAATTAATCACATTTTGAAAATAAACAGGATTATTCACTATAGCAGTTTGAAATAGCAAAAGAATTCAAACAGTCGTCATGACCACCAATAGGAGACTGGTTAAATGAATTATGGTTCGTCGGCTCGCTGTGTGCAAATTTGGAAAGAGCTCTAAGCTATGTCGTTAAGTGAAAAAAAAAAAAGCAGGATAGTGTGCAGTATGACCATTTGTGTAAAACATAAGCATATATTTGTATTTGCTTATATATATAAAAGGGAACTTTGAAGAGATGAGAAACTCAGTAACAGAAGTTACATTTGTGTGAGAGGATGTGGGGGCACTGGGGTTGGGATGGGGGGAGACGGAGTAGGGGGAGACTTTTCACTACACACCTTTTAAAAATATATATATTGTTAAAAGCATGTGAATGTATTACCTAATGAACGATTGAAATCAATTAAAATGTTCAAAGGTTTTTTAAAACTATTAAAAAAGTTTTAGGGGAAGGGGGACCCCAGCAATCACCTAACCCGGCATTTCTCACACAGTGGTTTCTGAGAGTGTCACGGAAAACCAATGGACTTAAAGCTGTACAGGCGTACCTCATTCTATTGCTCTTTGCTTTGCTGTGTTTTGCAGATGTTGCAATTTTTTTTTTTTTTAAAATAAATTGAAGGTTTGTAGCAACCCTGCCTCCAGCAAATTGAAAACCTTCTGGAAAGTATTGAGGTCAGAATATCAACATTAACAAGAGTTTGGAAGGAGTTGATTCCAACCCTCATGGATGACTTAGAGAGATTCCTGACTTCAGTGGAGGAAGTAGCAGGTGGGGGAAATAGCAAGAGAACTAGAAGTGGAGCCTGAAGATGTGACTGAATTGCTGCAACTTCATGACAAAACTAACAGGTGAGGAGTTGCTTCTTATAGATGCAAAGAATGTAGTTTCTTGAGATGGAATCTCCTGCTGGTAAAGATGCTGCGAAGATTGTTGAAATGACAACAAAGAATTTAGAATATCAAGTAAACTAAGTTGCTAAAGCAGGGGCAGGGTTAGAGAGAACTGACTCTAATTTTGTAAGTTCTACTGTGGATAAAATGCTATCAAACATTATTGTATACTACAAATTGAAAGCATTAACTGATGCAGCAAACTTCATTGTCGTCTTATTTTTATAAACTGCCGCAGCCAACCAAACCTTCAGCAACCACCTCCCCAATCAGTAGCCATCAACATCAAGGCAAGACTGTCCATCAGCAAAAAGATCACGACTTGCTGAAGGTGACATGTTAGCACTTTTTAGCAATAAAATATTTTTAATTAAGGTATATGTGTTGTATTTTTAGACATAATGCCAATGTACATTTAATAGACTACAGTAGTGTATTCTAAACAATTTTATGTGCACTGGAAAACCAAAAATTCACATGACTCATTTTATTGGGGTGGTATGGTGAGCCTGCAATATCTCTGGGGTATGCCTGTATAATAAATGACCCTCCCCCCATTTTAGGCATCAATATAGAACTGTTTTTTCTAAGTAATAATATTATTAATATTAGTTATAATAAACGAGTTTCAAGAAGAAAGTTGGGGGATAGTTGAAAGAAATAAAGAGGCATATAGTCCACAATATTGTAATAACTTTGCAAGGCAGTAGACTTAGTGTGGCGGTCACATCGTAAGGTATATAAATGTCAAAACACTATATCATACACCTGAAACTAATATATTTCATGTCAACTAGAAAAAAAGGTTTCCAAAAGTTAAATATTAATTCCAAAAAAATAGTCTCAGAGGAAAAAGGACAATCCTTTGCCTTGAATAGTTTTATGAAAAATTCTCTAGTTTTTTTTTTTTTCTTTTCTCGGGAAGCTCCACTAACTACCTTGGACAGAGCTGCAGACCAGCCTTTGGGAATCATGCGGTGGGCTGGTGGGCTGTCAGACTGTGGCTCAGATCTGAATTCTCTGGTTAAACAAAGGAATGATTTGGGGCAAATATGTCGGCGGAGGGAGGCAGTTCTCCCAGGGTAGTTTTGCGTGTTAGCGGGATTCACTTGGGAGGTCGCCCTCACGGAGGGAGCCACCAGAGACCGAATGCCCGCCGTTCCGCTCCTCTCACGTGCTGGCCTGCCTCCCGGCCGGAGCCTCTGCGTGGAGACTAACGGGCAAGGACACACGACTGGGTTCTCCGAGCCCAGCGGGGAGCTGCACGCTCCATGGGTCACCTCCTAGGTGCCCCTACCTGAGGGCACAGACAGCACGTCCCCAGCCCCGTGGGCTTCTTGTCTGGGGGATGGCGCCCAGCCCAAACCCAACACGGTTAGCCTGGACGCCGGAGGTGGAAAGGCCATCGTCCCGGCCCGCAGCTATTTCCCTTCTGCGAGCACTCGGTGGGGAAACTGGGAGGGGCGTTGGTGACATCTAGGCGGGCACAGGGCAGGCCATGTCCGGTGCTCGAGCCGCGCCAGCTGCAGTCTCGTCCGCTCCTTCCGCCGCCTGCCCTCCAGGCCCGCTCAGAGGCCCGGAGGTGACGGCAAAGGCCGGCCACCGCGGCCACGGCCGTCACCTCACCGCGAGGAAGGGCCGGTCTTCGGCTCGCACGCGCACCAGGACACCTACCCTAGAGTCGCTCCTTCACCGCGGTCTTTCCCAGCTCGGGGAAAGGGCAGCCGGGAGGAATGACGGGGTGGGCCCTGCGCGCTGAGGCGGCCTCCCATTGGTTGCTTCCGTTCCGCCCTTGGTTCCGATTGGCCATGGGCCGAGCGCACGGGCTGAGCACGCTGACCCTCGCTGAGCAGCGTTCGGCCGACGACGGCGCGCAGCCAATGAGAGCGGCCGGGGTAGGGGGCGGGGCCTCCGAGGAGGGGCGGGGCTGCCGGCGCTGGATCTCCGCGCGCGGGCGAGTTAGTAAACAGACCTCGAGCGCGTGTCTGGGGTCAGCGGTGCAGCCAGTTCTCGGAAGCCGCGCAAAGGTGACCGTGGATCCTAACTTCCTGTCCCGGGGTAAGGCTGCCGCCCGCCGCATGGCCCGGGCGCCGTTTGCCTGCGGCTCAGAGCTGGACTCTGACTTGCTGGGGCCTTTCTTGCATCCTCCTCAAGTGACAGCGCGTCTTCCCCTTTCAGACTTTCAGTAGCCGAGAGCTTCGAGACGCGGCGCGGTATGCGCGACTTCGGATGCAGGGTGGGGGGCCTGCAGATGTCGCCTACCTTAACCTGCCGGGCCTGCCTCAGAGAGGGGACGAGAACAGCGTCTGGAGCCCTGGGGTGCGCCGAGCAGCCTCGGTGACCGGCTGCCGATGCCGAGTCTCTTGGTGGCCAAAACGGCTTTCCTGTCTCGCTTTCCCATGATAATATTTCTCTTCACTCCCAGACCCCTTTGCACTGTTTCTCAGGGCCTTTAACTGCCCCTGGCTGCAGGTTTGTGTCAGAACTTTGATTTCCTTGGCTCCGCTGTTGGCTTTCACAGGTGGGGGGTTTGCGTGAACTTGGAAAAAGGGGCCCTTCTCGGTCCTTTCCTCTGTTCGCTTCACTTTATCTCTTCCTCCTGCTTCTCGAAACGTTGAGGGTCTTGTGAGTGGTTTGGGCTTAATTGCTTAAACTCATGCCTTTCCCTAGCCTCCCGCCCCATTTGCCAAAGGCCGACCAATTCTCCCATGTGCCTTGGGGGATGGGGAATATTGCAGGGGCAGGTTTGGGTGCTGAGATTTTCTGTTTGGGTGAGATGTCAACTTATGTGCAGCCTCTCAGCCTGGGTTGGGCCTACTGGAAAACTTGTCCATGCTCATCACTCACTTGGGCTATGGGTGTGCGTGACAGAAGACTGAAGAGCTGGGCATGCCAGGCCTACCTTGATGCCAAAGGATTTGAGTATGCACTGATGCCAGCCTGCCAGTTGTCATGCTGTGGATGGCTGGGTCATCCGGGCGGGAGGGCCCTTCTCCTGCAAAAAGACGAAGGGGTTCCTGTTTGTTCAGGGGAGCAGCATCTTTAAGACTCTGGCGATGGCTTTAGGCTTTTTGTTCAACCTTGCAAATAATGCAGACAATGCATCCTTGTTATAATTTCTGGCCTGACCTCAGGCAACTCAGGAAAAGTGAACGAGGTGCTATAAGCACTTCCTTGCACATCACCTATGACAGGGTTTCTCACCTTACGGACCATCAACATTTTGGCCTGGATAACTCTTTGTCGTGTGGGGGCTGACCTGTGCATTATAGAGTGTAGCAGCATCCCTGGCCTGTGTCCATTAGATGCTAATAACCCCTCCCCCACCCCCACTAGTTGTGACAACCAAAAATATCTCCTAGGGGACAGAATTGCCCTTAGTTGAGAACCACTGAGGTAATACTCTAAAAGAGTCTTCTCAGGCTGCCAGAGGCCTCCTGGGACCTGCCTATGAATAGTTGAGAGGTTTAGGAACAGAGTAGTGTTGTGTCCCCCACCCTAAACCAAGGATAGAAGCCATGTAGATTGGGCTGTAAAGAAGACCCCACCTATTCACCTGGGGGAGTAGGAGAGGGATGGGAGGTAGAAACCCATGGGCATTTACCATGCCTGCTGCTTGCAAGGCAGTGATGGGCTGGGTTGAGAGGGCAAAAGAAGTAGAAGACTGGTGGTTTCCATCTTTGGGGATTTTGCAAGATGATGAGGATATGAATATGAGATAAGCATGGGTGAGTTTTTAAATAGTGAACAAACAAGTTTAAGTTGTCTGAGCGCTGGCAGAAATGCCAGCTCAGTTACCTACAGGTGGCTTTTCCAAGGTGATGCTTCACTTATTCTCACTTTTGGCAGAGACATCTCTTGTGTCTTGTGATGTGGGAGGAGGTCAGGCCTGCATCTGCAGGGAAGGAGTGTCTGGCTGCATGTCAGACATATGTGTGAGTCTGTTTACATGGACCATGTGCTCCTTCGCAGGACAGGCTGCCGAGGAGTGCAGAGGTGCAGCGTAGACACGTATAATTTGTGGAGTTCTTTTATAGTTAATCAAAGCATCAGTATCAAAAGACAGCCATTTCTTTTCATGCAGAGAAAGTTGCTTTACTTCTGAGTCTAGATTTTGCCTTTAATATTTATGCCTTGAACTTTTAAGTTCCAAACAGATGAGGGTACAGAAAAGCTGCAAAACAGTGGTTATTATTATCGGGCAGGGAAAAACATTCCAAGTGCCTACTATGAATTTCCCTTTCTAGTTGTTAATTAGGCCTGTGGGGATGTGTCGGGATTTCCCCACAATGTTCCTTGGTCAGTTAGGGGGTCGTTTGGGTGCTCTTTGTTGCCTGTAGAAAAGAATCTGGACAGGGAAGTCACTTCTCCTGTCTCAAAAAGAAGTTTTGAGAAGTCTATTATTGGGAAGCTCCAAACTCGGCAGGATAACTTTCCGTCAAGGGCTGTGGACACTGAGTCATTATCTTTGTCGGTTGAAACAAGAGCTGTGTGCAAAATTAGACAGGAAAATTTAGATCGAGAGTTGTCTTGATCTGACAGTGGCGTCTGGAAATAGTTCCAGCATTCTTGTTACACAGCAGCCAGGGACTCGGGGAGCCAGCGGAAAGGAGCGGGTGGGAGGGGGGAGTGCGAGGCCCTACTCCTTCTGGAGGTGCACCTGTGGGAGGGGCGGGGTCTGTGGGCCTGAGGCAGGGCCAGGACCACGAGTGAGATGCACATGGGTGGGATCCGAGAGGGGGCTTCTTCCTGCACTTTGCGAACCTGAGTGAGAATCCATTGTTCTGTCCACAAGCGTGTCATTTCTTGTGGGGTTACGGGCTCCTGAGCCTTTGACCCTTAGCTTTGAGGTCAGGGGCCCACAGAATATTGAAAGTTGGAAACGACCCTGAAAAGCTCTTTTTATTCTTCATACTTGGATTTGTTTTTAGTATGTGCATGTAGAGAAAGATTCATGAAAAAGGTGAGTGTTTTCACTCAAATTGCCATTTCATGGTATTGTAGAAACTGTTGTGGTTGAATAGCGACTGAGTTCTTGTCTCGGGAGCCCTCACTCGATTTGCCTGTTTTTATCCTGTCCCATTCCCATCTGGGCCAGGAGAGAGGGGCAGCATCTGTTCCAAACCCAGCGAACCCCTATTTGCCCTGAGGGTTGGTGCCCCTCCACGTCCTGCCCTCTCTGGAATTGTGGGTGGACCTGGTTATTTACTCCTCATTGAACAAATATCGATTGATTATCTGCCTTGAACATGACATTGGGAATTTAAAAGTGGGACTTTGAGGGGTGGAGTGGTGTGCACGTATAACTGGGTTTGTTCCCAGATTGGTTCAGTAGTTGAACCTGCCCGGCCTGAGAATAGGATGCACAGACTTGGAGCTGTCCACCTACAGAGAGGCTGAAGCCGCCCAGGGGACGGTGTAGATAAGCAGGGAGGATGGGGGTCAGGCCCAGGCCTGGGGACTCCGCTGTGCAGTAGGTGGAGAGAGAGCAGCTCGTGAAGGAAGCTGAGATGAGGGGGCAACCGTGAATCATGGGAAGCAAGGGGAGGGCTTTGGGGAGTAGGTGGGCCAGCAGGAAATGCTGAGGAGGGTGGCGTTGGGGGAGCTGAGGTGGATCGGGGCATCAGGTGGCTGTTGTGAGTGTCACAGAGGGGAGGGCTTGGGTGGGACCAGACAGTGTGTGCAGAGGGAGAAGGAAGGATGGGAAATGTCCTCTATTCCTGGGAGACCTTGGCCAAGAGGAGGCTCAAGAAGAAGCAGAGTCAACAGGGCGTGTTTTTATCTTTGGTGTGGGAAAACAGAGTGCGTTTGTGGGCTTGAGGGGCTGATATGTGGAAGGAGAGATTGACAGCAAAAGATAAAAACAGGTCAAGGGCAAATTCCTAGGGGACTGAGGAGGGGGTGGTTAGTGCCAAGGAGATAGGATAGGGGAGGAGAGGCTGGGGAAGGTGTGAGATGTTGGCCAAGGGTTTGAGGGCGCTCACATCTGCTTGCCTGTTTGGGGAGGAAACAGAGGTGCCAGCTACAGAGTGAGCGAGGCCCTCTGCTTCATGTAAGAGGGGCAGGGTGAGCTGGGGATGGTGTTTGGAGAGGAATCCAGGCTAGTGTCCTGCCTTAGACCCTCGAGGTCCTGCTCCTGCCATCCTTTGAGGAGCTAGTTGTTCCTGTAGGTGAGTGTGTGTGAGCGTGAGTGTGGAAGACAGGCAGGGAGGTGTTGCCTGGCTGTATGAGAAGGGACCAGCCCCTTCGTCGCTCACTGCCTCCGCGGCATCCCACTGGATTTTCCCAGAGGTGTGTTTCCTGAGAGGGAGGCTGTATGATTCCCACCTCCTCACCTCTGAGAAGTGGGGTCTGCCCCTCCCCACTTGCTATTTTCATAGAATGTCTAGAAGAGTCAGTGCATGAATTCTTTCTAGACCCTGTCAAACCCCACTTTTCAGAACAGCCCTGTGCTGTGCTCTCTTGGTCGACCTTCTGCACTCAAGGGATAAATGGCCGTGTCCTCTTCTCTGGGAACCAGTGACCATCCAGGTCAGTCGCCTTATTTCATACATGAAGCAATGAGGAAATGCAGAAATGGAAGCCCAAGGAGGAGAACTGGTGTGCTGAGGTCACACGCGGCTGGTGCCTGGGGTGGGCCTAGAACCGGGGCCTCGCCATCCTTCCTCCATCAGCCCTCGTCACCCTTCTCATGTTGTTGGGGAACTAGAGAGCCTGGTGGCAACGCTTTTGCCATCTGCCAGGCTGGCTCGGAGGTCCTGGGGACTGTTCATCCGTACAACTTTTCAGTTAAAGTCCAGGACCTGAGGTCAAGCCCCATGTTTGTTCTCTGCCTGGCATATTTTCTCTTTGGCACTGATCCTGGCTCAGAAGAGGGTGAGGGTAAGAATAGATTGTCCTGTGACCCGCAGGTGGTTACTGTTTGACAGGTGCTGGAGCAAACATCTCCCTTCTGAGGTAGGAAAAAAAAAAGTGTGTGGCTTTCGCTCCCTAATGTCTTTATAGCCGATATTTGGTAAACCAGAGAGCTGGACGGGTCAGATCCGCCGTGTTTCCTG